ACATAATATGTCTATTTGTACTCATTCTAAACGAAATTGTTTATATGATGAACAAGTAACTTATTTTTCAATTTGATACAACTTTTAAGAATCTTGTATCCATATGGATACTATGGGAGTGACAAGGTAAAATTAAAATTATTAACGTATGAAAATAAGCGAACAATGGTACTTAAGGTTTCCATGGAGTCCATATGGATACATATTGATAACTTTTAATTCTATGAGGGAAATTTGAAAAAAACACATTTTTAGCCTTAAAATACAAAAAATAAAAATAAAATTCACAGTAAAATTTTTTGTTTTTAAATTTTATAATTCCGGGAAGTAAAGGGTTAAGTTAAGCTGAAATAAACAAAAAACATAATACAGTAATTAAAACAAATAAGTACAGCTGAGGTATTTTTAACATTAGGTATATGGAAAGTTCCCTTTAGAAAGGAATTACGACCTTAAAGGGCAATTTATGAAATAATGGATAGTTTTGCACAAAGTTTCTCGTCATGACGAACATTTTAAGTATATGGTTTATGGGGGTGTGACTTGTAGTTTCTTCAAAAGTTCATGGGTACTTTTGGCTTTATATATAGACTAGCTGTTACCCACGGGCTTTACCCGGAATGGGCACACGGGAGGGACTAAGGCTAAAGGTGTAGTGACGTCATATCTCTAGTGGCTAATGTATACTCTTGAGGCAACACGATTACCGTAACGAAACGATGTGATTTCAGCGGCGTTGGTGGCATAATTGGTAGCGTTTCGGATTGGTGTTCTGGAGGTCCCGGGTTCGAATCCTGCTGGCAGCACTAACTTTTTGTCAACAAATTTTTATATCAGCAAGTTTGGTTGGTAAGGTTAGGTTATGACAGTTTGATTTTATAATACTAAATTTAAAATTAATTTTATAATTAATTCGATTTTGATCTTATACAGTTTTTATATTATCATCAAGTCTGGTTGGTTAGGTTATGTTATGACAGTTTTATTTTAAAAAATAAAAATTTATTTTATAATTTAACCCTCCGAGTGTCCATAGTTTAGGCCTTAATGTCCACCTATTTTTGGCGCATTTGCAAGGTTTTATTAAAACGGATCTGAGAAGCTTAAAACAATGTTAATTCTAATGTTCTATATACCATTTTGTTTGGAAAATCATGGGCTTCAATATTATATAAAACATAAGGAACATTAAAAAAAAAAAAAAATTTTAGGTAAAAAAAAATATAATTTTGAAAATTAAAAAAAAAAAATAAGTTTGCGCTCAATGAAATTGTATAAATTATAGGCCTATAAATATTTGAAAATAGCCACTTTGTTCTAAATTTTATGAGGATTACAAATATATAATAATATAAGGAAGTAGATTTGCAAATAAATAAGTTATGGGCAAAAAACTGATTTCAGTATATAGCGTTTAGCTAAGAATGCATAGCCTAACCATAGCTAGGAATCTGGCTGATAATTTACATCAATATCACTACCTACTTCTTCAGGATCATCAACCAGCACTTCAAAACCACTTAAATCTTCTTATAATGCACCACGTATATCACTACTTTTGATTTTTAACACTAAAAAAATGATAAACGTAATAAAACACATCAGTCATCGGTCCGGGGGAACCTAGCTGTTTACAAATACACGCACGTCAGCTGTCTGCTACAATATTTTCGGAACTAAAATGAATAGCGCTTAGAGACAGACCTCTGGAGAAAGCTTAGAATATTACGGAAAGAACGATACCTAACTCGATCCAGTTCAATCCGATTCAGTCAGTCATAAAGCCTTCGCCGTAAACGATGTTTGTGCGTCTTAAACTCGACGCGTGACCCTACACAAAGTGTGTTGTGCGTCTATTTTTTGACGCTTGACCCTCGGAGGGTTAAAAACAATATTTTATAATTAAAAAGTTAATTTTATAAGTAAAAATAAAATAAAAAATTAAATTTTTTCAACTTAGCGGTTCTAGCGGCGAACGCTGGCACTACAAGATACGTTAGCCTTAGTCCCTCCCGTGTGCCCCACCGGGCTTTACCCCGTTTGACATCATAAGTAAATATTAATAAAACTATTGATTGGTTAAGTTAACCTGAAATACATGAAATGCAGTAAAAGAAACAATTAATCACACCTGATTTTAATAAGGTAATAAATTGAAAGAATAACAAACAGATAAGTACAGCTGAGGTATTTTTAACATTAGGTATATGAAAAGTTCCCTTTATAAAGGAATTACGACCTTAAAGGGCAATTTATGAAATAATGGATAATTTTGCGCAAGGTTTCTCGTCATGACGAACATTTTAAGTATATGGTTTATGGGGGTGTGACTTGTAGTTTTCTCAAAAGTTCATGGGTACTTTTGGCTTTATATATAGACCAGCTGTACCAGCGGGCTTTGCCCCGTTTTACTACATAAGTGAGCTCGTTCGCATGGCTCAATCACGTCCTGGTTGAAGTTCGTTCGCTACGCTCACTCACCTTTAGGTTGGAGCTCGTTCGCTGCGCTCACTTGCCTTCAAGTTAGCTCGTTCGCTACGCTAACTCGCCTCCAGGTTGAAGTTTGTTCGCTACGCTCACTCACCTTTTGGTTGCAAATTAGCTGTTGTCATAAATTAAAAAAAAAATAATAGTGCTGCACCCTGTTGGTAATCCTTGTAACTTTAATGCTATTGCACATCATAGAACAGAACCAACTTGTTTAATTGAAACAGCTGTTAAGATTCATTAATTCCATTTAAATATGAGTACTCATAAGGTTAACATGGGAAACTCCAGAGCCACTGGGGCGGAGCCCGAGAGTCCGATCAGAATAAAAACAACTTAGTTTTCCTATTTAATGCCTAAAGAATCATTGTTTATCATTATTTTGAAATCTTAGTTTGTATAAAGAATCTCTTGGGAGCATAACCTGGACCTCTTAACCTCTGCTCTTCGAACTGTCAAATTTAAGTATTTACAGCTGACTTAAATTAATTGATATATTTACATTCTTTCAAAATGTAAACATGGAAAATTTTAAAGCCCATGGGGCGTAGCCCAAGGGAAATATGAAAATTAGATATAATATTGAATTGTCATCCACTTGTGAGCTATGTTTCAAATTTCAAGTCTCTAGCTCATTGGAAACTTCGTTTAAAATTGATATCAAAATGTGTAGGAAAGCGAGCTAATAAAAACAAGCCCATGGGGCATAGCCCAAGGGAAATATGAAATTTAAATGATATAATATTGCATTGTCATCCATTTGTGAGCTATGTTTCAAGTTTCAAGTCCCTACCTCATCGGGAAGTTAGTATAAAATTGATTGCAAAATTTGTACCGGACAAGAAAGCGAGCTAATAAAAACGTTTTAATGAATGTATTTTCCAAATTTGATCAAAATTTGTTCATAAACAAGCAAACTACAACAGTAACAGTTGACTTATTCTCCATAAGAATGGGAATTTTAGATTTAAAATTTTTTGAGACAAAATTTTTTCTGTAACCATTAGGCGCATAATAACACTTCAATACTAAATTATTTTAAGCTCTACAAAATGGTTTGGAAAGAAATTTTGAAACTTTGTGTTTTTAGGGTCAAAAATGGGGAAAACCTATTTCTACCCCATAAAACCCCCTATAAGCCCCTGTTCCCATAGTCCGACCATGCTGGTTCGCGAGCTCGTTCGAATAAATGTAGGTTTACAGGTTTTTACTAGGGATGGTCAAGTCTCGAAATTTCGGGAAATTTTAAATCTCGTTACACGAGACGAGATTTCTTTTTGGCCGAGATTTTTATCGAGACGAGAATTAAAAAAAAAAAAAAAAAAAATGAAAAACGCCTGCAGAAAGTCAATGCAATACCCGCAATACAGGAGCGTGTTTGTAGTTGCGTTTCCTTTGCGAAGGCGTTCTTATTTAATTAATTCTTCAAATGTAAATATTACTTTAATTATTTTAAGAACATTTGAGAAGTTTTGTTAAGTGTTAGCAGTGTGAGGAATGTTTTATTACTATAAAAAAAGTCAAAACAAGTAACTATTTTATACAAATTAATATTTTATTTTATGATTTATTTTATTTTAGGATAAGTTGAACTCTATCCTAACTGATATCACTATGTTTCCTAATCGTAGGCATTTTTAATAATTTAGGCGTGATTAATAAAAAAATGTTATGCTGATGTTTTTTAATAAAAGATTGTAAATATTCTTGCCTATTATCATTATTTTTGTATTTAAACAGTCATCTAACAATGTTACAAAATCAGGTAAAAATTCCGAACATGCATTTCCCTTTGTGTATGAGAAGGGAAATCCCGTCTCGATCTCGTCTCGAAATTTTATGGGAAATAAAAAATCTCGTCTCGTCTCGTCTCGTCTTGAACTAAAAATCCAATCGTGTCCATCCCTAGTTTTTACCAAATTTAATCAAAATCGGATCATTTTTGCTCGAGTTATCGTGCTAATGGACACACACACACACACACATATATATATGAATTTCAACGGATGGTGTTTTTGGCCTCAAAATTAAAAAGTAAATCGGTCCCGGGTCCAGGTCTTACCATGAGTACTACGGTAATTTAGCTTATTCCCTATATGGGAAATTCGCCAAAAAAAGAACAGACAGTACAAAAAAGAAAAAAAAACAAAACAAGAGTGTTAAGAGTTTGTTTATAAGGAGGATTAAATTTATCAACATAAGTTTTTCTGACACAATACAAGATGCTTTTTTGCATTACCAAATTTGTTGCATTAGTTTTGGGTTAACTCGGTAATGAATGATGTCAGTGTTTGCAGCCTTTTAAATTTGTTAAATAGAGAAAATAAACAGTTTATTGAAAGAATTAAATGTCTGATATTGTATAAAAGTTACACAATATAATTGAATAAGCCTGCTGCCAGTTTTTCTGTAACAGGGTTACTTATGGTTTTAAGTTAGTTCTAAAACCTAGTGAATAGTATTACAATTAATTGCATGGTTCAAGTATTAATTCATTTGATATTTAAATTCAGCTCGCTAGAGATCCTGAGATATTCCAAATAAAGGAAGTTGAAGGAGAGGCAGTGGAGATAGTTGCCAAATTACCTTGGATTGAAGAGACCGTAGAAACTATTCATAACCATGGCAGTAGACCTTTAGAATCCTATGGGACTATGTTCGAGGTACTTCTAAGAGTTTTACTAGGTTACAAAACATTTGTTTACATAATTCAAAGCTCATCTTAACCGCCCACAAAGGACTAGAACTTTTATAGTTAGTTATTTGTCGGTAGTTTTTTTCAAATATAAGGGGTTAATTAGTAAGTAAAAAGACAAAATAGTCAGGGAATTAAACTGTTCAATAATGACATAGTAGTCAGCATGAATAATGTCATCAATCTGTCATTTTAAAGAGAAGTTGAAACTTCTATATGTAACCAAAATGGTGTTTTTCAGTCACTCAGGTCCCGTGATAAATCTCCTTTCTTCCTAGGAAACCCCCTCTGTTTTACAATACAATACAATATTATTTATTGTTCATTCGTTAAGAATTTCAATAGTGCTAATACAATAGTGAATTGTACGTGTTAATTTCCATAATTTTCATAAAATTCCTTTATTGAGTAGAAGGGTCTTGCGATTAGCATAAGGTGTACCAAAGAGTTTTCACCTCCTCCTCTAGCTGAAGTCTGGGATTTATTTGCCGTGAAAACTCTTCTTTGCATACTCAAATGTTTACCTTTAAATCTTTCAATCCTAACATCCTTACCCTAGAACTTGCATCCGTAAAGCATTGCTGGCTTAACACCCTTTGTACAGCGTCATCAAATGCTTCCGAGTCATGCTTCTATTTTCTCTGTCATGTCCTGATAATTTGATGAAGACTCCTTTCTTTTTTTGTACATTTCCTCCACATGTTTTTAAAAGTTATTTCTTTACCTTAATCAAGCCTGACGACATATCAAGATTCCTGTTTAACACAATAATGGTGTTTTCCAGAATATTTCGGACCCACCCTTCCTAACTTCCGATATAATCAAATATTCTTTTTGGAGGTGAAAAACGTGTTTATAACTAATATCAATAACTTCAGATCATTATTCTTGTACACTTATCATAAACACAGAAGAATGTATATGCCATCTCTTACAATAGATACAATTACATAAAATTTATTGTTCCTTGGATATTAATATTCTCCACTCATTAAATAAAATCCTTTCATTTAGTTTCTGTAAAACAAAGATCTTAAAAATCACAACAATTATGTGTAACTGCTGTACTATCCGTTCACTTGAAAACTCACTGAACCTTAATAACGTGTTTTGCAGTGAAACACCAATAACTATTGTTAAAAAAAAATACCCCCGCCGCAGCAAACCTGCAGACTTAGCGAATTTCCATTTGACTCATTGGATTTACACTAAAATGTCTCCATAAATATATCACATTTATTCCCTATTTAAATAGAATTAGTTTAACGAGTACTTAGGTTTGCTGCAACAGGGAGGGTAAAAAAGTGTTTTTTAATGTAAAATGTTTATAGGTATACTGCAGTTTAGTAAGAAATTAATGTATTTTCCAAATTTGATCAAAATATGTTCATAAATAAGCAAACTACAACAGTTGACTTATTCTCCATAAGAATAACATGGGAATTTTAAAATTACAATTTTTTTTTAATTTTCTCCGTAACCCTTAGGCGCATAATAACGCTTCAATATACATTAAATTATTTGTTTCTTTAAGCTCTACATAATGGTTTGGAAAGTAATTGTGAAATTTTGTGTTTTTAGGGTCAAAAATGGGAAAACCCTATTTTTACCCCATAAAACCCCCCATAAACCCCCGTTCCCATAGTCCGATCATGCTGGTTCGCAAACTCATTCAAGTTTATCCTGCTTTACACCTTTAAACCAAATTTCATCAAAATCGGACAAAAATTACTCAAGTTATCTCGTTCACGGACACATATATATATCTATATATATAAATCTATATATATATACATATATAAAAATTTTAACGAATGGTGTTTTTGGCCTCTGGGGACATCAAAATGAAAAAGTAAATCGGTCCCTGGTCTAGGTCTTACCATGCCACCTACAGTAATAGCTTACTTCCCTATAGGGAAATTCGCTAAAAAAAAAATAGTGTACATTTTTATCTCTTCTAAATCTTTGTCATGTTTCCATTAATTTCTATTTGAGTTTGACTATAACCAGCTGTTTCAAATATTAGTGTAAATTTAAAAGTATTCATCAGTTCTCAAATGTAAACAAACATTTTCTCCATAAGGATAACATGGGAACTTTGAAGGCCACTGGGTCAAAGTCCTGATGGAATTTAAAAGATTTTTTGATAGATGGCAAATCTACATGCCACACCCTATCCAACGACACCTAAAACTTGGTGATCGGATACATAGCAGCTTCAAAACAATTATGACAAAAATATGCCTAGCGTATTAACCCTCCGAGCGTCACTCGTCGAAAAATCGACTCACGACACACTTTGTGTAGTGTCACGCGTCGATTTTTCGACACACGAATATCGTTTACGGCGAAGGCTCTATGACTGACTGAATCGGATTGAACTGGATCGAGTTAGGTATCGTTCTTTTCGTTAGATTCTAAGCTTTCTCCAGAGGTCTGTCTCTAAGCGCTTTATGTTCTCCGAGCCGATCGTAATTGTAGCAGACAGCTGACGTTCGTGTTTTAGACAACTTGGTTATTTCACATCGGTGACATGTGTGTTTTTGTACGTTTATCGTCGTTTTTAGTGGTAAAAATGGACAGTAGTGATATACGTAATGCACTAGAAGATGATATTAGTGATGTTGAAGGACTTATTGACGATCCGGATGAAGTTGGTAGTGACATTGATGTTAATTATCAGCCAGATTCCTAGCTATGGTTAGGCTATGCATTCTTAGCTAAACGCTATGTACTGAAATCTGTTTTTTGCCCATAACTTATTTATTTGCAAATCTACTTCCTTATATTATTATATATTTGTAATCCTCATAAAATTTAGAACAAAGTGGCTATTTTCAAATATTTATAGGCCTATAATTTATACAATTTCATTGAGCGCGAACTTATTTTTTTTTCAATTTTTCCAAAATAGTTTTTTTTTACCTAAACAATTTTTTTGAAACAAATATTCCTTATGTTTTATTTATGATATTGAAGCCCATGATTTTCCAAACAAAATGGTATATAGAACAGTAGAATTAACATTGTTTTAAGCTTCTCAGATCCGTTTTAATAAAACCTTGCAAATGCGCCAAAAATAGGTGGACATTAAGGCCTAAACTATGGACACTCGGAGGGTTAAATATATAGATGGTACAAAAATAATATCAATGTTTAAGAGGGATTTAAAGATAGTACTATAATATAATGGTTTTTTTATATTTAGGGAAGCTGCAAGCCTACTTTTGAGTAGACTTGTACCACAACTTGAACTTTGTTATGCCTTATAATACAGGTGGCACAATTTGTTTTTCAGGATTAATTTTGCCAACAGTGTCGTTTAGAGGCTTCTGATAAACTATAATGTAGGTTTACTAATTGAAAAATTAGTTTTGTTCATACAATAAAATTATAAATGCCTCAAATTCAATTTTATATTTTTTTTATTATGAAATTAAATCGTCATAACCTAACTAAACCAACCAAACGTGCTGACAATGAAAAAAATTAATGAAGGTTTATTAATCGAAAAAATAGTTGTGTTCATAAAATAAAATTATAAATGCCTCAAATCGTATTTTATAATTTTTTAATTATAAAATTAAACTATCATAACCTAACCAAACTAACCAGACTGGCTGATAATGAAAAATCGAATGAAGGTTTATTAAAAAAAAACATTTCTGTTCATAAAATAAAATTTTAAATGGGTCAAATTCAATTTTATAATGTAACCATAACCTAACCAAACCAACCAAACTTGTTGATAATGAAAAAATCCAATACAAAAAAATAGTGCTACGGGTGGGATTTGAACCCGGGTCCTTCGGATTATTTACCCAGCATTCTATCCACTACACCACCGAGGCCGTTGGCATCAAGTCGTATCGTTGCGGTAATGATGTTCCCTCAGCCAATCAGAAGCCTCAAAATAATACTGTAGGCAACACTAATCCTGAAATAAAAATTCAGCATACAGGTGATACAAAATTGTCTTTTGGTGGTACAACAAGTTAACAAAGTAAACATTTGAACATACGTGGTATATTTGGTAAATTAAACAACTATGTTTTTAGCATGGACCTGTACCAGACAAAACATTTTTTTAACTTAGTGTCTCTATTAAAGTAATACAAAAATTTGAATTAGTGTTTTTTAGGGGTAAAAAAAGAATACCATAATATAACATACCCCCACCGCAGCAAACCTGCAGACTAAGCGAATTTCCATTTGCCTGATTGGATTTACACTAAAATGTCTACTTAAAAATATAACATTTACTAGTTAACCGCCCGTGCTCCGCCACGGGAATATTGTCAGCAATAAAAGAAATAATAATTAACAAATACTGTTTATCTTTGTATTTTATTTAGGGGTTGTTTAAGTTTTTACATGAAATAGAACTGATAGTTTGCCTGTGTAAACTATTTTATGTTAATCAAACCGATATATTATTTTAACCCTCCGAGTGTCACGCGTCATAAAAACGACGCACAACACACTTTGTGTAGGGTCACGCGTCGCTTTTAAGACGCACAAACATCGTTTACGGCGAAGGCTCTATGACTGACTGAATCGGATTGAACTGGATCGAGTTAGGTATCGTTCTTTCCGTAATATTCTAAGCTTTCTCCAGAGGTCTGTCTCTAAGCGCTATTCATTTTAGTTCCGAAAATATTGTAGCAGACAGCTGACGTGCGTGTATTTGTAAACAGCTAGGTTCCCCCGGACCGATGACTGATGTGTTTTATTACGTTTATCATTGTTTTAGTGTTAAAAATCAAAAGTAGTGATATACGTGGTGCATTATAAGAAGATTTAAGTGGTTTTGAAGTGCTGGTTGATGATCCTGAAGAAGTAGGTAGTGATATTGATGTAAATTATCAGCCAGATTCCTAGCTATGGTTAGGCTATGCATTCTTAGCTAAACGCTATGTACTGAAATCCGTTTTTCGCTCATAACTTATTTATTTGATAACTTACCTCGCTATATGATTATATATTTGTAATCCTCATTAAATTTAGAACAAAGTGGCTATTTTCAAATATTTATAGGCCTATAATTTATACAATTTCATTGAGCGCGAACTTATTTTTTTTTTGAAAATTTTCGAAATTATATTTTTTTTTTACCTAAAAATTTTTTTTTTGAAAAAATGTTCCTTATGTTTTATATATAATATTGAAGCCCATGATTTTCCAAACAAAATGGTATATAGAACATTAGAATTAACATTGTTTTAAGCTTCTCAGATCCGTTTTAATAAAACCTTGCAAAGGGGCCAAAAATAGGTGGACATTAAGGCCTAAACTATGGACACTCGGAGGGTTAACCAAATGAATGTTTTATATTAATTCGAGTTTCATTTGAAAAATAAATAGTATACGAACTGGACAATGCTGATAATCTAATAAGCAGCTATTTATGCTATTTAGATAATTTGCTCAAGTATATTCCTATATTCGTCGTTTTTTTTTCCATTACATTTGTTGTATGGAATAAAGATAGTCACTTAGCCTACATGTAAATCACGCATCAGCAGTTGGTCGCATTTCACGAATCTTAGACCCATACTGTGAGTAAAAGCTGTGTTTACGTTGTATATATAAAGTTGGGCATACTTTGTTCGATGTCAGAGGGTATTAACGGTCCAATTTGATGGAAAAGGAGTCGTGGATTTTAACTGCTCATTGCCTTTTTAGTTCGATGGTTCTCTACATTTTTTTTTCGTTCGGTATGTCTCTTTACGCCCAGTTAATGATTACCTTTTCTTTTTCTTTTTGTACTTTTCACACCCTGGGGTTAATGATAAAGTTTTATAACGCTATAATGACCCGTGTCAACATTGCCATTAAACATCAAGTCACATAGGTACTTCTTCGCCAGAACCGAATGGTAAGTCACAGTTTCTCAAGCAACTTCCCTGTGTACTTGAAAAAAAATTCACTGATATAGGCCTATTGTAGTTCCACGTATCCCAGTGTACTCGCCATCTCGAGAAGGTAAAGTTTGGTAGCACTGAACGTCTAACACTGATCTTGAGTAAGATTCGTCACCTACTATAAAATGTTTGTATGTTCCCCACTCATTAAGCAATTATATGTACAACTTGCAAGCGGATTTCCCCATGATTATTCTGGTGGCCGTAGAGAATAAATTATATTGATCAAAACAATAAGTTTCCGTTCCCTATTATGGGTATTATTTCACATTCCATACTCACACTAAAACTCAATTACCACTTTCCTTCAGATCACTTTGCAGGAAAACTAAAACATTTCAAAAATAAGTTAACAAATACACTTTCCTTGATCAAAATCGTGTGTTTATAAACAGAAACTCCAAGTTTAATAATTGCATACTGAAAGTGAGGTTATACAAATAATAACAAATGTCTGACAAACATTAAACAGCTGACGAATAATTTATAAACTGTGTATTATATTCTTCAATAAGAGTTGTATTGACTCGACCTTTAAAGGGCTGTAGGTCGTAGCCCTTAGAAAAAACGTAAATTCTAAGGAAGTTCGGCAAATCTACACACTATCCCCTTTAATTTGAGACATAAATCTTGTAGATCGGTCCAGTAATTACTGAGAAAACAGTGTTACAACTGTGTATTAAATATATAGATTTCCTATTTAAATAGAATTAGTTTAACAAGTACTTAGGTTTGCTGCATCAGGGAGGGTAAAACTGTTTTTTTTATGTTAATAGTTAGTGATCCACATTTGATCAAATATGTTCATAAACAAGCAAACTACAACAGTTTACTTGTTCTCCATAAGAATAACATGGCAATTTTATATTTATATTTTTTTTTTCTCCGTAACCATTAGGCACATAATAACGCTGCAATATACTAAATTATTTGTTTTTTTAAGCTCTACAAAATGGTTTGGAAAGAAATTGCAAAATTTTATGTTTTTTGGGTAAAAAATGGGAAAAACCTATTTTACCCCATAAAACCCCCCGTAAACCCCCGTTCCCATAGTCCGATCATGCTGGTTCACGAACTCGTTCGAATAAATGTAGGTTTATACCAAATTTCATCAAAATCGGACCATTTTTGCTCGAGTTATCGTGCTAACGGACACACTCACACATATATATATATATAAATATCTAAATATATATATATGAATTTGAACGGATGGTGTTTTTGGCCTCTAGGGACCTCAAAACGAAAAAAAAAGAATCGGTACCGAGTACAGGTCTTACCATGAGTACTACGGTAATAGCTTATTCCCTATCATTTTATGTTGTTTGTTGTTGTTCCGGATCGGTATGACATACAATAAAAGGTTAAATTACCTGGGTCCGCCAGTCAATCCTTATGTACTGTGTCCTATTACAGGAGACACGACATGTCCGTATTAACTAAAATAAAAGTAGCCCTACTGTGTATTTGTTTGTTTTATTCGTAATGTATATAAGTGTAAAGTTCGTGTACGTGTTTCAAAACTTCAAGACGCACCAAATGGGGAAGATCAAGATCTTATATTAGGACTGATGATGGCAATTTATTCTGCCGAAATGCATCTCCTGTAATAGGACACAGCACATAAGGATCAACTGGCGGACACAGGTAATTTAACCTTTTATTATTCCCTATATGGGAAATTCGCTAAAACAACGTTTCTATGTTTAAGGCAGTAGTGTTTTTGGTATTGACCTGTGCTGCAACTGTTTTAGAGCGAATAAATAATTTGAGGGAAGCGATGAAAGTTAAAAGCTTGAAAATGTCAAGGGGGTTAGAACTCTAAGGTAACAATTTACTTTGTTAATCTAGGTGAAAATCGGACGTAAAAGAGTTTTGCCACACGTTATTGAAAGTGTTTGTTTGGAAGCACCTGCTACTGTGGCGTACTTGTGTGATGCTTTCCATCCCTCACAATCTCGCACACTGCTGCGGTTCCACCACAGCCTGACGCCGTATAAAGCCGCTGTACTGATAGATGCTGAAGGTACAGTATAAATGTCCAGATTATTTTTTGACATACAGAATACCCACCTTCAATGCAAGATTATCTAACTATGGATTGAGACATGGCAAATTTTATAGTGCACCCCTTGGCAAAAAGTTGCAAAGGGAAATACCCCCGCCGCAGCAAATTCACAAGGAATTTAAAAGGAATTGGTAATTCTGAGCAATTACTTGGTCAACCCCAAACTTGTTCATATTTTACTACGGTCATAAGGATGTTGTCAGAATACAAGAAACATATTCAAGCCCCGCAATGTTAGGTTAGGTTATTTCACAATGATCCTGGAGGTATATGAATAATATTATATGATAGTTTAATAATATGAATTAACCTAACCTAACCTAACATAACATAAAATAACATAACATAACGGTACTGTCACAACTGGCCTTACGCGCGTCTCCCGCAAGCCACTGTTATCGCGTAGACTTTGAACCTTCTTATCCCTCGGCAACCTGTACGATAGCCTTGCGGGGCTTGAATTATATGTTTCTTGTTTTCTGATAACATCCTTATGACCGTAGTAAAATATGAACAAATTTGGGGTTGACCAAGTAATTGCTCAGAATTACCAAGGAATTTCACAAGGTTAGTAAAAATTACAATAAACCCTATTTAAACATAGGCTAATTTTCAATGCAGCTATTGCCATATTAGTTAATTAAATGCACGTTATTTTAAAGAAAATTCAACTTCAACCATTCCGTGTTTTTCAAGAGAAACTCTTAAGATTTAAGAACGAAAAATCAAAGAAGCAGTAGGTTTTTAAAGACTTGAGGAAGTTTTTAGTACTACAGTAGACCTATCTATATCATAACAATTTTATATAACTAAGCGTATAGCATGAGCTGAGCCTCCTCTTAGAGAAGCCCATGATATAGGCCTGGAATAGTTGGGTAGCTAAGCCACATATGCTAGGTATAGCTCAACTAAGGGGTAAACGGTTGCCAGGCCCTGCTAGGCTGTGACGGACCAGTTTTAGTTTCAGTATGTTAATCTGGAATGTGAGCTATCATCATGCCAAAATCCGTCCAGTAGTTAATGCGAGGTTCTGCAGCACACACACAAACTTTCGGATTTCTAATATTAGTAAGCTAGGATAAATCACCTGTTTTGTTAGCAAAACTAATTAAAAATCAACAGTAATTAAAGCTGAGGATGTTTATAGAATAAGTTGGTTTTGGATTGGAAACTTATTACCCTGGAAAGTTTAGAATTATAACTTATAATGTAAAAATCTTATGCATAAAACCATTACTCTATGAATGAATCGGAGCAAGCAAAAATTCATTCTCTTTATCTTTGTCTAAAGTACACTACAAAATTGTAAGTCTTCAAAAGTAAACAAATCAAAAGAATGGGGTCACATAAGACCCATGTTAAATTTTCTAAAGTTTATACGCATATTATGGCGATAATAGATTTTTCCCGGGTATAACAAAGGTCTAGAACTTATTTTTGATACAGAACTTAGTTATACCATAAGTTAAGTATAAACGTGTTTATATGTGCCAATTCCGAGATTGAAGTAACAAGTATTAAAACTTTACTCGTATTATAGGATAAAATATATGTTTGGACATTGTGAAACAAGGTTTATTTAACACTTGGTTTTTTTTTGGACTTGATGAAATTTGGAGGTTGTGAATTAATATTGTTATGATTTATGCCTGCCTTCATTCTTATTTAAGTGAACTAACATATGTTTTATTTTATTATTATGATTTTGTAAACATTATCTAATTTAAATACAGTAGACCCCCTCTTAACCGACCCTAATGGGACCGGACCTAGGTCGGATAACTCAAAAGGTCGGATAAAACGGGCAATCCCTAAAATCATAAAATAATGAAGTGCTATTCATTTGGAATTATATAATCATTATTTTGAAGTCATACTTGCATTATTTATAAAATAAACTACTCTTATCTCCTTTTTCATATTGATAGAAAAGTCACAAATAAACACAAAACACAGTTAAGTCAAATAGGCCTACTTTCAGTGCATTATAATACTAGGCAAGAGTCAATAAAATTCCTATTTTAATAGCTTTAATACTGTAATGTATTAATTGATGCTTTCCAAATACATCGTAATACAGTACAGAACCTTTTGTCGACATTAAAGATACAAGCGACCATTTTGTATCTTGTACAAGTTGCGTTGTTTGTTTACTCCTGCGATAAGATAATCAGTTCTCAAAATCGTAACGCACTTTATGATGTTATAAATTTGCCGCACAGATAAAAAATCAGATCAGATGTGCTCGAGCTACGAACGATGATGACAAACTGACAATAGGCTATGCTATATTTTTTGTGCTCAACACAAAATAACTGATTCTTAGTCATATCCTGTGGAGATAAGCGTATGGTTCAGTTCTCATCGCCCAGCGTGGGAGCGGAAATGCCGAGATTCCTAGAAAGCGGCGGTTAAACCGAGCTGCTCTCAAATCAAGGTCGGTTAAAACAAACTGTATTATTTTACGATCGAAGGCGGATAATCCGATTATCGGTTAATACGAGGTCGGTTAAGAGGGGGTCTACTGTACACATCTTTTGTCAAGTCCTATTAATTTTTGTCTTGTCTGTCTTTAATATTTTTAACATTGGTGCCGAAACCCGACTTATAAATCATGTCAAGAAATATGTCACTCCGAAAGTCAGGGAGAGAGAAACACCCTCCAAATAGATATTCCCCAGAAAATATAAATTACAAGAATGATGAACCCATGGAAAGAGATAGTCAACCTCCAAAACCCCCTACTAAAACAAAAAACCACATCTTCAACTTCCAGCAAGCGCCGGTTACTTCAACTGCAACTAGAAGAAATAGAAGAAATGAACAAACTAGAAAAAATGCAGGAAGAAAAAGAAATGCAACGCCAAAGAGAATTCGAGGCTAGAGAACTGGAAAGACAACATCAAGCTGAAGAACTAGAACGACAGAGGCGAAGAGAGGAGAGGGAAATGGAACGACAACGTCAAGCTGAAGCAAGAGAACTAGAACGTCAGAAGCGTCTGTTGAGAGTAAGGACCGAACTTGAGTCTGCTTCGGTCTTGGGAAGTAGTCAGTCCGCCTCAGTCTTGGGCAGTCGTCATTTGGAAGATAATGAAGACCCTGACAAGGTAAGCTTCAATATTGCTACAGTTGAGGAGGACTCTAATGTCAAAGTCAAGAGGTGGCTAAATGAGGAACCGTCAGTTCCTTTGACATCGTCAGCCATCGTGTCCACGGCTATTGATAAACTAGCTGACTCCTTTTCAAAAGCTATCAATTCATCTAACCCCAATCAAACTGTATCTTGCCGACAGCGTCTTCCATCCTTCTGCGGGAAACCAGACGAATGGCCCATGTTCTATTCCTGTTACAATAAGACTAAACACCTTTTTAATGACGATGAAAACCTTGAAAGAATAAGAAATTGTCTGGAGGGAGATGCCTTTAAAATGGTAAAACCTCTATTTATATCAGGTAAAAATTTGAGTACAGTAATGAAAACTTTACAAATGTGTTTTGGACGTCCAGAGTTTATAGTCGAGTCAATGTTGAAGAAGGCGCGCATGCTCCAACCAGTCAAGGAGGATGACGCTGTCAGCCTTATTGAGTTTTCAACAACACTTTTAAACCTGACCTCTACCGCAGAGTCGTTGGATTTGGAAATGTACTTAATAAATCCTCTCTTGTTGAATCAACTTTTAAGTAAGCTCCCCTATACTCTGAACTACAGGTGGGCTGAACATGTAAATAGCATGCATTTAGAAAAACCTACTGACCTGAAAGTATTCTGTAACTGGCTTGAAAACCAGTGTTCCATTATGAGTATTTATTTTCGTCCACCCGAGGAGACAGCGCGGAAGAGAAGTGACCCTAAACCAGTTTTGACTAATTCACCCTATGCAAACGTTTGCATGTTTTGCTCGGAGAGTCATGAAACCGATAAATGTAAGCTTTTCAGAAAAGCAGAAGTCGCACAACAGTGGAAGATGATAATTGAGAAAAAACTGTGTTTCTTTTGCTTCCGTCGTCACCACATCAAATTTTGCAATTTAAAGAAACCTTGTGGAATCAATGGGTGCAATCTATCCCACCATCGCCTACTGCATACTGACAGTGCCTCGAAAAATACCGGACGTATCAATGATAACTTTACTCTGGCATGTTTTGAATATGGTAAATTGCACGAAATAGCAAAGGAATCATTTGAGATTGACAACTACGGTGCATCTCTAGCAGAAAACATCTCACAAGAAGAAAGGACCCGAAACAAAGAAATCAAAATCAAAACCAAAACAACACATTTAGACAGTGTTCCAATCAAAGAAAAAGCGTTGGAGGTGGAATGCAAACCACTGGGGGCTGAGAATATGGTTCAGGACTCTGAGAAACATTCTGACATTCTCACCAGTGTCCAGATGGTCCGAGTGGTTGGAGAGAGTACGGAAGAGCCTGATGAAGACAAGGAGATAGTTGACGATGAGCCTATAGAAACTTCAAAAATACTCGAAGTCTTGAGAGAAGCCGTGTTTAATCTAGTGTCAAAATCGGGAACAGGATTGTCGCGGTAACTGACAAAAGGAAGAAAGTGAAAACAGAAGACAATCAACTTAAAGCCAAACCTCTATGGGAAATGAAGAAAACGGAGAACGATTCAGAGTTGATAATTTGTGGTGGATGTGACGTGAAGTTTGACAATACCTTCTTCTACAGACACAAGAAGAAACGTGTGTGCTGGAAAGAGCACAAGAATAACGATGACAAGCAAACAAACAAGTGTGCTCAGTGTGGCTGCAAGTTCCCATGTCTGATGGCCATGTTTAAACACAACTGTAGTCGCTCACAGGAACCTACGATGCCACAATTGTGTCTTGAAGAGCCGATGGCGGAGGTGCTAGGAGACAGCGTGGAGGACATATCCACCTTGTCATCTGTGGAAATCTCCAGAGACGAGACTGTGAGGAGAATTAACTATGGCAAGCAAACAAACGAGTGTGCTCAGTGTGGCTGCAAGTTCCCATGCCTGATGGCCTTGTTTAAACACAACTGTAGTCGCTCAGATGAACCTACGATGCCACAATGGTGTCTTGAAGAGCAGATGGCGGAGGTGCTAAGAGACAGCGTGGAGGACAATCCCAACTTGTCACCTATGAAAATATCCAGAGACGAGTCTGTGAGGAGAATGTCACTAGTGGACGATTCAGTCAGCCTAGTCAGTGACGAGACCTTTGACATCTGTGATACATATTTCCAAAGACTGTCCCTATTTAATCCAGCTGATCAGTTAATTATTTGTTGTTGTTTTTATTTATGTTTATGCAAAGTTATTCAGCAATAAATATACACTACACAGTCAACATTATGTGCACAATTTAATTGTATTAAATTAGTTAAAGTATATTGGCGACGAGGAAAACAAAATGACTGAAGAACAGACACTACAGAAACTAATCAAAGCAAGAACGGTGGTCAAAGGCCAATTTACACGAGCAAACAGATTATTAAAAGGCAACCCAACGGCGACAGAACTAAATGTAAAGCTCAAAACTGTTACCGAATACTGGACAAAGTACAAACAAATACAAGATGAAATAGATTCACGCACAGATTTGGATGAGCTTAGTAGAGAAATTGAATGCAGATGCAGTATGGAAGATGAATATTTACAGATTACAACTACACTTCAAGAAATGATGCTAGCTGTTGAACATAACTCTAACACCTCTTCATCTTCATCGCCCAGTGCACATTTATGTAACACATCAGGGAGAATTAATTTCACACCATACACCATATCACCCCGAAGAAACTATCACAAACTTCATAAGAAGACTGGAAGTATTTTTGTATCTAAATAACCAAGAACCTAATAATAAAGGTAAAGTATATACACTACTACATGCCCTAACACATCAACTACATCAACAACTCTATGATGTTTGTACTCCTGAGGACCCTTTGGACAAACAATATGATGACTTAGACTTAGTGCAGCTCTTGAAAGAATTTGTGGATCCTCAGCCAAGCCAATGGGCTTTACAACAGAAATTTATTTCGCGGAATCAAATGGAACATGAAACAGTGAATGAGTTTTCAGTTGCTCTTAAGAAGATGACTGTAAATTGTGAATTTCATTGTTGCTGTGGTAAATCTGTTGCAGATCTATTTCTAAAACTACAGTTTATCCGGGGGTTGAAAGACGTAGACATTCGAACTAAACTATTACAAGATCGTGAAAAACGAATGTATCAAGATTTAGTGGACATTGCTTCAGCAATGGAACTTGCAAAATCAGAAAGTAAGACTGTAAGCCATAATACGTTGGAACAATGTGAATTGAATCAGATTAAGTATAAAAATAATAACGAAAAAAGTGTTAAGCCAACACAACTGAAATCCTCACCGAACAGCCCTAGCTAGAGACTACTCAAGTCCTAAACGGAAATGGTGCTTTGGAACTATCATTGGAAGAGAAGGTACCCTCTTATACCGAGTCAAAATGGAAGACGGAACTGTGTGGAGGAGGCATATCGGTTTTGCGTCATCCATGACCCTTAATTGTCCTAAATGATCAGGTATGACTCCAATTTTTCCATCGAATACATCACTAAAGTCGCTCAACATGTTTCCTAGACTTGATGTCTGATTCATTTCTAGACTTTTTATTTCACCCCAATCTAATTTGACTTCCCTAAGCCAATCTCTACCAAATATTGCATCGACATTTTGTTCAATAAAAAATAGTTTCCCGACAAATCTTTGCGTTTTGTACATACAATTCACAAACGTTACACCTCTTGTCTTAATAGTTTCCCCTGTGTATGTACAAAGTTCAACTTTGGTTGAAAATACCTTTTGTGGAATTGACAACTTCTTAAAATCTTTGTAGGACATAGTGCTGAGGGCTGCACCTGTGTCTAGTTCCATTGGTACTGCTTTGCCCTCAATCTTCATGTTTACGATAAATTTGTCATTGCTTCTACTGTTGATGACATTAATGTGAAACTCATTCTCACTACTTTCTTCAGTTTCATATTCTGTTTGATGATTTCTGTACTTTGTTTGGATCTGCCTTTTTGTTTGCATGCATACACTTGCAATGTGTCCCACTTTGTTACACCTTCGACACGTTGCTTCCTGAAAACGACACTCATGTGCCCGATGAAATGGTGAACCGCAGCTATAGCATTTTCCTTTGAGCTTTTCAAAAGCTGTTTTGAAATTAGATCTTAAATTATATAGGCTTCTCATGCAACTTCGTCAATCCCCTAACTCAACCGGGTCAAATGCTTAGAGTTTAATGTATGGAAGAGAGATAAGAACGCACTTAGGATTATTGCTTCCTCAATATAACAAGTCAGCAAGAAGTGCAATGGCTGTGCGCAGACAATTTCAAGTGGGGGACAGTGGCTAGAGACTACTCAAGTCCTAAACGGAAATGGTGCTTTGGAACTATCATTGGAAGAGAAGTACCCTCTTATACCAAGTCAAAATGGAAGACGGAACTGTGTGGAGGAGGCATATCGATCAGCTTCTAAAATGTGAAATTTAGGCGGGAAGAGTTGATACATATTTCCAAAAACTGTCCCTATTTAATCCAGCTGATCAGTTAATTATTTGTTGTTGTTTTTATTTATGTTTATGCAAAGTTATTCAGTAATAAATATACACTACACAGTCAACATTATGTGCACAATTTAATTGTATTAAATTAGTTAAAGTACATAATAATCTCACAGTACCACGGCAAGTACTTTAAGTCCAGCAGTTATAACCAGAGGAATAAGAAGTATTCTGAAATATTCAAAAAAATCAAAGAAAACGTAAGCTCAAAGTGAAAATCACTAATGAACTGGTGAGTACCAAAGTTAGCCTTCGCAAACCTCGGCCAAAAATGACTATTGCTCCGAAGAAAAAACGAATGAAAATAAAAAAGAAATCTAATTTTTGAATGGTAATTGAACTAATATATGTTTTATTTTATTATTATGATTTTGTAAACATTATCCAATTTAAATACACATCTTTTGTCAAGTCCTATTAATTTTTGTCTTGTCTGTCTTTAATATTTTTAACCAATATGTTTATTTAATATTTTACTTTGGACTTAGTGAAATTTGGACTTAATGAACCTCACCCAATAAAAGCAATCTTTATTGCACTTATGGTCATTTTATCTAAGCAAATACAAATATTTTGTAAAAATCTTATTTTGTCTGTTATTGACTACCTTTGAGGGCATGAAAACTTAAATTTCTCCCATTCTGTCAGTAACACTTAGTAGTTTAACACATACAAATTTTTAACACTAACACCATCGTGAACATTAACACTATCGTTTCACCCTGTATATACAGGGTGTCTTGCAACCATATGAACAAACTTTTTCACGTTATTCAGCATGTCAAAAGAAACCAAAAATGTAATATAACATGTGTCCTATCTCATTCCGTTTTTGTTTTTGGTCTATCTGTATGTATGCATGTGATTTTTACAAAAACCTTCATAACTCCTTAACTGAGAATTCATTTATTGAGCTATTTTTATTTAAAAACTCTAGAACTGAAAAATGTTAATCATTTAAATAGTTGAGGTATTGAAAAATGGTGCTATCGTCTGAAATTAGCAACTCTATTTCAGATGGTGTTCCAGAAGAATTAAAGCTGCTGGCAGAATTCCTCAATTTAAGTCTTCGTAGAGCAGGATTGCTCACCCTAATGTCTTGTGTCAATGACAATGAAAATAGTGTTAACCTGCTATTCAAGAAACATGACCTACTTGGAATACCATACTCTCTGGTGATCAAGGATGAGACACTTAGTAATGGTATAGCTGGTCTACGTAGCAGGGATACCATGTTACAGGTATATCTGTACCATAGATAAGTTAATAATCTGGTCTCATTCATTTTACATTGTTTGCGTTTTGTTGCTCCACCTCATAAGGGCCGCAGCCACCCATTTTTCTTGAGGGGGGGGGGGCAAGTCCTAAATTTGCAGCCTTTTCACCACGCAACTGTTGATTTTTTAGAATTTACAATGACATTTTACGGTGTGTCTTAAAACGAGGCACACAAATCTTTTTTTAAGAAAATGACCCAAAGGTTTATTGAAACTTTTTTTTAAGGTATTAAAAGTGTAATGATTTTAAAAATTGGTATATTATTATGTGACCCTTAAACCTGTAAGTATAACTTTCATAAAAACAAATAAAAAAAATATTTAATATTTCCTTATTAAATTTCCATGAACACAGCTCTCAATACATAAAGTTCCTCAATAAGTTAAAAAAATAATTAAATTGGATTTTTCTTGATTTTTAGCAACAAACATAACATTAAGTCATAAAATGGTATTCATGTCCCTCTTACATGTTTAATTACGATAATAATTGCCGAGTCTTTGATCGACTTGTCTAATGATCAGTGACGGATCTAGCCAGGAGTTGCGGGAAAAGAAATGTAAAGGAATTGCCTGATATCGCGGCAAAATTGTTAGCATCTCCCGCTATTACAGGGACATTGTTATCCCCACCTGCGATCACAGCTGGAGCTGATTGAACAACTCCCGCTATCATGGGGACATGATTAACGTCACTTGCAATCACCATAAAATTGAGAACATCTCCTGCCCTCATGGGGACATGGTTATAATTCCTCACGGGCGTGATGAATCATTAATTTATAAAACAATTTGTTGTTTAAATCAAAAGTTTTTATACAAGACGCTGTGGCCCTCTTTCTCTTGCAGCCCTAGGGGTTTGGCCTAGTTCTAAGTCCGGCACTCGTCACTTCTATCATTGACATGATTAATTTACATATTTATTGAGCGAAGCTCTTATACGTCGACTCTTATGCATTTCATAATACGCAAACTCCTCCTAGACGGCTGAATCAATCGTTTTAAAATTTTGCATGGTGATAAAGACCATATCGGTGAGTGCCAACATTTATATGGCGTTAAAAAAGTCTCTCAGGAATCCGCCCCACTGGGTCTCAAAGTTTCAATGTATCCTTATTGAACCAGTATTTGACACATAAACAAAGACATATGATACACTGTTGACTTTTGAATGCAGTAGATAAAGAAATAGCTGATAGCATTATTCCACAGATATTAGAACAGAAACGGTATGGATCATAAATATAATAAAAGCTTGAGGTCCGTGACTTAGGAAGTGGTGAAGGAAGTAGTAAAGGTGAGCAGTCTGGAGGGTGGAAACTGTTTATGACGATTAGATTAAGGTATCTGCAATCCTAAAATGCTATGGGAAGAGAGGAATACAGATCCGTGACGTAGGAAGTGGTGAAGGAAGTAGTCAAGGCGAGCTGTCCGGAGTGTAGAAACTGTTTGTGACGATTAGATTAAGGGATCTGCAATCCTAAAATGCTATGGGAAGGGAGGAATACAGTTCCGTGACGTAGGAAGTGGTGAAGGAAGTAGTCAAGGCGAGCTGTCCAGAGTGTAGAAACTGTTTGTGACGATTAGATTAAGGGATCTGCAATCCTAAAATGCTATGGGAAGGGAGGGAAACTGGTCCGAGACATAGGAAGTGGTGAAGGAAGTAGTCAAGGCGAGCTGTCTGGAGTGTGGGAACTGTTTATGACGATTGGATTAAGGTATATACAATCTTAAAATTATTTGGAAAGAGAGAGAAAACAGGTCCGCGACGTAAGAAAAGGTGAAGGAAGTAGTAAGGCGAGCAGTGTGGAGTGTGGGAACTGGAAACCGTTTGTAGCAGTTAGATTAATCTATCTGCAATGCTGAAATGCTATGAGAAGGAATGGAAGCATGCCCATGACATAGAAAATGGCGAAAGAAGTAGTAAAGGCCAGCAGTGCGGAGTGTGGGGAACGTTTGTGGCAATTATATCTACGTATCTAAAATACTAAAATGCTATGGAAAGTGGTGAAAACAGGTCCACGATGTAGGAAGTGGCTTAGGAAGTAGTAAAGTATGAGCATACTGTCTGTGGCAGTTAGATTAATGTATCTTCAATCCTAAAATGCTATGAGAAGGGAAGGAAACAGGCCCCACGACGTAGGAAGTGGTGAAGGAAGTAGTAAAGGCTGGCAGGCAGAGTGGGGGAACTGTCTTTGGCAATTACATTAATGTATCTGCAATCCTAAAATGCTATGGGAAGAGAGGGAAACAGGTCCACGACGTAGGGGGTGGTGAAAAGGTGGGAAAGTAGTAAAGGTGAGCAGTGTTGAGTGTGGGAATGGATTAATGCATCTGCAATGCTAAAATGCTATGGGAAGAGACTGTAGACTGTAGGTTAAAATGATTATAACGAATCACGAATCGATACATATTTTCGATACATGCAATCAAAAACAACATAGAACAGAACACATACAATAGAAATTTACAACTGAGTATACAACAGCTGATTTTTACTCCATAGAGGCTAAAAACGATTTTTACTCCCTAAAGAGTAAAAATGCTACTTTAGACCCGCAACGCATGCATTAAATACCCCCGCCGCAGCAAACCTGCCGACTAAGCGAATTTCCATATCTCTGAATGATTTTCAATTAAATATATTTAAATAACATTAGGCGAGTACCTAGGTTTGCTGCTACAAGGAAACTTAAACTGATAAAGTGTGTTTTAGTAAAATATGAATAGCTAAGTATATAATAAATACATTTCTTAAGTTTGATCAAAATATATCCATAAACAAGCAAACTATAACATTTTCAATATTCTCCTTAAAAATAACATGGGAATTTTAAATTTTTTGAATTGGTTACCAATAACCGTACAAAAACACCGCGATATACTTAATCATTTGTTTTTTAAGTACTTTAATAAGGTCTATAGATAAATTGGGAAATTTTGTGTTTTGAGGGTTAAAAATGAGAAAAACCAATTTTTACCCCATAAAACCCCCCGTAAAGCCCTGTTCCCATGGTCCGATCATGCTGGTTCGCGAACTCATTCAAGTTTATCCGCCTTACACCTTTAAACAAAATTTTATCAAAATCGAAAAAAATTACTCAAGTTATCGCGTTCACGGACATTTTTATATATATACTGTGTATATATATATATAAATTTGAACAAATGGTGTTTTTGGCCTCTGGGGACATCAAAATGAAAAAAGTAAATCGGTCCCGGCCGTAGGTCTTACCGTGCCACCTACGGTAATAGCTACTTCCCTATGGGGAAATTCGCTAAAACGACTGTTTTTACTGCAGTATGACAAAAACAATATAATATGAACCCTTGATGACTCCGCTCAATTTTGTGGATGCGTCTGCGAACGCCACCTAGTTATCAAACTGTTTATTGGTTACAATTTATCATGTTAACCAATAAACAAAAACCGACAACTTTTACAAAATCTCAATCTCGGGTTCTGTAAAAAAAAAAAAAGTAAACTGACACCCAATCTCAAAAATAAGGCTAATTTGAACCCTTATAATGTTAATTTTGTTGATAATGAAAAAAAGTAAAAATGTAAGAGCACCCCTTTTTCAACAAATTCCGGGACCTGCATCTGCTAATTAAATGACCATTTAGAAACATTGACAATTTTTGATAGAAATAAATGAACTTCAGCATCCTATCTATGAGCTCCTCCTGAGGATGGTGTCTGCCCCTTGTCATTGCTCCAAGAGTACTGTCCCTTACCTCGTTCAGAGCTGTGCAGTCATAGAGTAGGTGATCAGCAGTCTCCTCTAATTGCCCACATTTCCTACACGCAGTGTCTCTGTGGATCCTCAAACGATGCAGGTGCAATTTCAGGAAGCCATGGCCGGTGACCATTCCTCTGATCTGTCTAAGTTGCCTCCTGTCTAAAAGTAGAGCATTGGAGGCGACCGTCTGGGAAGGGGAGAAGAGATGCTACATACAAAGCTTTCTATAGACTTTCATTAACTTAGGCCCACAAAATTCCTTCGGCTATTAAGTTAGCCCACATTGAACTCCAAGTCATTTCTTTCTTAATAAAGATAATTCCTAATTTGTGTTTTATTTCTGTCTAATGAGGTAAGTCTTTATCTTAAATTTATAAAATATGAATAATTTTAACAATAAATAGATTTAGTAGGTTACAATATAAAATTTATTAATGAAATACAAGATAAGTTATTGGTTGAATTAGCTACAGGGTAAGTTAACAATGGTAAATTTTCAATATGGTGGGGTTTCCAAAGTGGATGATATTATTCTAGGCTTATATTGGGTTGGTTTCTTCTGAAGTACTAATTAATATTTAAATAGGCTATGAGCTCTTAATCTCAGGGAGGGGTGGTCGTGGCGGTTCGAATGATATATTAGGCTTCTTTAAAATGTAGATAATTTAATTTAGTTATTATTCTGAAATACTAGGTTCGTGATGCTATTACAGGGTGTCTACCAACCGGGAAATCCGGGAAAACCGGGAATTGTACTTAATTTTTTATTGGCCATGAAATGTACGGGAATTGTCCTTAAATGCCAGACTATGTCCTTAAATTTTTAATGGGCCATAATTTTATTGATCGCTAGTTGGTTAGGAGCACATAAAAGGTTTATCAGATGTTTGTTTACATTTTCATAATTTATTACTAGAGTTATTATGCAATAAAAATCCCATTAGCAATTTCAAACCCATTAATATTTTATCACGACAATCAAGTGTCAAGTCAAGTACTTCCAAGAACTGTTGACTCAGTTATAGCTCATAAAAGTTGTATCACTTTTATTCCTTTACAACTTCTTTTTTCATTACTAGGGTAATTATTATGAGATCCCAAACCTATTTTATCGTGAAAATAATAGATTTATAATGGCTGTTAAATTTCACTTCTTACTTGTACTTTGGCTTGAAGATTCAATTTGCTGCGGCCATTGCCTAGTGCCATAAAACTGTTGAT